TATTTTTTTAAACTTAATTTCGATTAAATAGAAATAAAAATTAAAGTTATTTATTATTAATTCATAATGTTAGCTTGCGAGATTGCTTTTTTTTTGAAAATGTGTTTGTGTTTAATTTAATGCTCATCCCCTTGAGAAAGAGCCCTAATTTATATTCATCTTCACTAGAAAAGGTTCTGTTTTTCTTTAAAAATATATGTATTTTATTTAATTTTATTCTCAGTAAGACGTTTTATCACTGCCATAGTATAATCATCATCATCATCATCATCAACGGCAGCAGAAGCAGCATCGTCCATTAAAAAAAAAATGGAGGAAAATAGAGAATTTTGCATCACGTAAGAAAAATTAACTTTAAATCTTTATTTTAACAAAAAAAATAGAAAAAAATTGGGTTAAATTTAAATTAAAATAGCAGAAAAAAAGGTAAAGGATTAATTGAATTTTCCTCCTCCTCATCATCATCAACAGCATCTATTTAAAAAATGGAAAATAATAGGAGTTTATTTCGCATCACGTAAGAAAAAAAAAGTGAATTTATATCTCGATTTTCACGAAAAAATAAAACAAACAATAAAAATTCATTAAAATTTAAATTTAAATAGCAGGAAAAAAAAAACTTTTAATCGAATTTTCAACGCAGAAGTCCTACGCGAAAATTATTTATCCTTTAGGAAAAATATGAACAGTTAGTTTATAGCGAATAATAAATAATAATAATAATGCAGTAATTCTTATTTCCGATCGATAAAAAATTGGATTTATTATCAAGAATATTATCATTATGTAAGCGAACAAAGAAAGTTGTTATCAATAAAAATACCTTTAGAAAATATTGGAATAATTTAATATCGAGTTTATATTATACAGGATAAATCTAAAAAACGAGAAGATAGTTCTTAAGTAATCAATAAACCAAGCCTTAAAAACGAACAATAACTAAGAGAAAACTGAAGGACTAAGAGGAAATGGAAAGGAAAGATAACTGAAAAATGGACTGTGTACTTAACAAAGCATAATAGAAAAAAAAATATATCGAGTGTTATAAAAAGAGATACGGATAAAAATATCACTATTATACACTGAATATGACAAATATTCACCTTATTTTTTTATTCTATAAATAAAGTTGTAAATATTACAATACTTTTTCCATAGGTTTACAAGTCACCAAAACTTGACAACACCGTTTCATCAATACCATAGAATAATAGTTTATACACACACCACACACGGAAGATAATTTATTACACTATATATATATATATATATATATAATTTCTTACTTTGTATAGGAAAGATAAAATACTACAAAAGAAGTTGATATATCTGGCAGAAGCAATAGGGTTTTACAATTTTCTGGATATGTACCAGAGCACCGGTTTGCCAAACTGCTCTACAAGCAAATAAAATCCTACAAGATCAACTTTCATTTCAATCGTTTTTCGTTGTCATAGTTACAAGCATTTTTTTTTTTACTAGATTTTCGACCCTATTTTTTATTACAAATTATCTATCAAGTAATAATTTTTTTTTTGTAAATAATTCTACATATATTTTATATTTCTTCCTAGTTATTTTATATCAAACGTTACCGGTACATCTGTCTATTTCTGATAATTCAGTATGATGTAATTTATCTTTTATTTTTAAGTATTAAATCCTCCTTAAAACGAGAGATAATTATTGTGAAATCATTACAATGCCTGCAGTTTTTAATCTCATTTTTAATTCGTTTCATTTAAAAAATATATGCTCTCGATTTCAAATTATTATTATTATTATCTTGCCCCTGTACATCATACTTTTCCTGAGAACAACAGAGTCATGCCGGTTAGTTATGGTTAAATTATTATTATTATATTGCCCCTGTACATCATACTTTTCCTGAAAACAACAAAGTCATGCCGGCAAGGAAAATTTTTTAAAATGAAATCACATGACTTCCGGTATAGACCGGTATAATTAATCGGGTGGGCTACCATAAGGTCTCGACTTTCATCTATCTAATTTATTCATAATTCGTCTATCTGTTCTCCGTTCTCGAGAATAAGGAAGAGTAGACAAACAGACAGCTCGAAGTAGGAATTTATCATTAAATTTCAGCCCAATAAAAAATAAATAAATAAATAAACAATTTTTTAAACGTTGTATAAATTTTATAAAGAATTTATTTTTGTTAAATGTAAACAAACAATTAAATTATCAAAACAACAATTTAAGCAAGGACTTAAATATATAATTTTGTATATATTTTTTTCTTTTAAATTACATTAAAATTATATACTTTATTCAGCAAGTGTAAAGTAAATAAATAAATAAATATATATATATATATAATTTTTTCGTCAATTTTGGAAGATAAATTATGAAATTTAAANCCTTTTTTTTAACTTAATTTATGATTTAATACTTAAATTTATGGTAAAATATACATTTTATATTACTTTTTATGGTAAAAAAATAAACAATAAGCATAATTTTCTTGGATTCTAAACCATATAAATACAATATTCTGAAGAAAGAGATGGTGTAAGAACTGTCACTAGAGATTTTTACTGCAGCAGGAGACGTTATCGATGAGAGTGTTTTATGGCATCAAACTTTGAGATGGTTAAAAGGATAAGTTTAACGTCAAACCTTCTATAACCATTGTACAGAAGATATCATTATAGTTAGATACTTATTGATTTATAGTATCAAAAGTAATCTACAACAAAAATCAATGAAGTAGCAAATAAGTTTAAATTTATAACCACTTTAAAGCGTTATATCGGGGTTTTTTCTTGTATTAACTACGCCGAAATACAAGTCTTCCTTTTGGAGATTTATACGGATATTTCAATGATAAAATATATTTATAATAATATTCTGAATATATATATATATATTTTAAGAATGGAGTCGTTTCCTTTTTACTACTTTAAATAGTTCATGGGGCCTCATATATTCAAGTGGCCATATGCCAAACAATAGAAAATGGCACACGAACATAGACCATAAATCGTATCCTAAAGTGTTGTAGGAAGCTGGTGGACACTTTTACACACGCTTGCTGTTCCTCCTCCTACTACACGGAAAATCGATATGCCATGTAACAGATTTAACAAATCCCCTATTGTATCGTCTACGTAGATTAGTTTAAGGATTAAGGGATTAATAATGGATTATATCATCCCTATCATCTACATTAATTCTTACACAAATCGTCGTGTCTTTACACCTAAATTCTTCAGTCCAGATGGGGAGTATCGATTTATCCATTTGTTCTATTTGTTTACTATTTATCAAGACTTCTTTTACTTCAATATTCTTTAAGATAAAAACTTAAAAACAAATATATGCTTAAAAAATTTTAATGATGATGATGATGATGATGATGATGATGCTAAATTTCAACTGGAGCATGGCTTGTGCTCTACTAATGATGGATTTTTGGGCAAAATTAATTTTCTACGGCTTTATATTTTATGAATTTATCATCAATTTTATTTATCACAGCTTAGTAAAGACGTATAATTATTTTAAATGCGTATACATCATCATCATCAACAACGTCAGGCGTATGCGTTATAATATTCAAAATATTTTTGCATAAAAATGAAGCTATTTTCTTAAAATTATGGATTATTAATTAGAAAATATATAATTAGAAGATATTATTTATTAAATATGAAGATGATGATGGTGGTGATGGTGCAGGTGTCATTAATCATCTTCATCAGATGGTGCTTAGAGCATGGCATCATCTTCAAATTATCATTACTAAAGCTAATTCTAGGTACTAAAAATTATATAAGTTATTATAACTTATCTATTATAAGTTTTTATTATATTATATATGTTATATAAGTTATAATTTATAATTAGCTCGACCATGTCTCGATTTTCATCCATACTCTATTCTCGAGATTACGGAAGAAGAAACAGACAGACAGACGGACGCCGGTGGTAATTTATAGATCTACGAATAAAAATTATTGTCGCATCGTCACAATGCCGAGCTACAATTTTTAATCTATTTAATTTAAAATATATGCTCTCAATTTCAAATCATTAGTGTCTCGCCCCTGTAAATCATACTTTTCCTTATAACAACATAGTCGTGTAACTCTACTGTATGTAACTCCATACAGGGGAAAATTTTTGAATTAAAATCACATATATAGTTAATAGGAGGCCTCCTGCCCCTAACCTTTCCCTATCTGGTCTCGAAATTTTATCTATATTTAATTCATTTATAATTCATCTAATATATTCTCCGTTCTTTAAGGAAAAACAATAGAAATTTATAGGTCTACAGTTTTTCAAATTGTAATCCAATAAAATTATATTTTTTAGTAAACTTGTAAGGACCCTAGTAACAAAATAAAGGGAAGGAGAATATAAGAATTCACCTGTAGATACAGTATACAAAGGTATCCATTGATTTATTAAGAGACTTGTGTTTTCTTTTCTATCTGTCTTAGAAGTAATTGCAACCTTGATAAAACTCTCATTAGTTTCCGACAACATGAAAAGTGCTAATGGTTGCCGGGTATTTCATCAATTCAAAGAACAATACCCTCTCCCTATTCAGACTTGTGTTTACATCAGTGCAGTGATTTGTAATAAAGTAAAAGGAGTTTTCATACACTCCACCATATAAAATTACAATTATAACAAATCCCATTGATGCTTTATGTACTGATAATAAATAACTCGTTGGGGGATTTTCTAATCCCTAACGTGTAATATCATTTATGTGTATAATTCAGTTCTCATAGTTAATGTTGTAATTTGACAGAAACATTTTGAAATTTTACAATACCTTTACTAAATGTTGATGCATTTACCTGATTACATAGATTCTGATGACTTTGTAAGTCCTAAATATAATAATAATATAATAATTAAACTTGATTAATTAGCTCAACTTGTTAAATATTTAACGTTTAACCTGCAAACGAAGGAATGGACGTCCGCGGTTTAGAGGTGTCCGTCATCGAAGGTTAGGTTTACGTTTCCTTTCTCCTTTATAAAAATCTCGTATTTAATTTAAATTAAAAATAAATAAATAAATAAATCCAAAATAAAATCATTAAGTGAAACAATTTTCAAATTTTCTACATTTAAATTTAATTGTAATTTTAACATTTACAAAGAAAATTAAGAGTGAAAGGAAGGAAAATGTATACAATTGCTAATAATTAACACCGAGGAAACTTTGTTATATTCATTTTATTCATTTATTTTTATCCAGAAAAATCGAATTAGTTTCAGTAAATTATGTATTATATATCGTAAATGTTAAATTGATGCAAATTAAATTAAATCTGTTGAATTATATAACAGAATTACGTTAGGCAGAATAGGTTGAGTAAATTAGTCTAGGTTTGATCATGTAGAAAGTGTTGTCATATATGATAGATGAGGTTGAGCTACACTAAGGAGATAGAATACTAGATTATATACTATTCTGATCATATAAGTGATACTATATTGGATTAAGTAAGTAAAACAATGCTGCTATATTATACATTATACTGATAACAGTAAAAAATGATGTAGGCCAAAGTGTTAATTGATAAATTCCAAAACTTATATACATTTATCTTCCTCTTTTCTACTTTTAATCTTCCCTATTCTTATCCTAAACTATGCTTATGCATTATATCTCTTCGAATATAAGACCAACTCCATTTTAAAGAATAATTTCACGTAGAAAATTGGACAAAAACACTTAAAACAGAGAGAAAATCCCATAAAATTTTCATTATATGCAGAATTAAAGAAGTTAAAAGACACGTAAAAATGTAATCTATGATTTAAATTAATATAATATAATTTATTAAAAAACAATATTTTTATATTCGATTGNCAACGTACTGTAAGTAGGACATCGCTAAATATAGATAAAAATACAATGATCCTTGATAGAGCGACTATTCGATATAGTGAACAATTTTGATGGTCCTTTCGTTCTTTATATATATATAGAGAGAGAGTGAATGATTTAACCTAGTCCTTTGAGAGTTTACTATATCGAGTGTCCCTTATATATTTATTGTTTATAATAAATTATTAATTAATATAAATATAGTATCAAGATTAAATTTTACATATTATATGTCGTTTTTATTATAAATAAGCCGATTATAAATAATAAATAAATAATATAATTTATATATTAGTTTATTTTATATATGTTTTAGTATTTTTAAATTAAATTGAATAAAATTAAATGTAAGCAAAGAGCTAGAAGGAGAAGGAGAAAAAGGAGGAAGAGTAGAAAAAGGAAGAGAAGATGAGGAAAAGTAGGAGAAGATGAGGAAAAGTAGGAGGAGATGAGGAAAAGTAGGAGAAGATGAGGAAAAGTAGGAGAAAATGAGGAAAAGTAGGAAAAGTAGGAGAAAATGAGGAAAAGTAGGAAAAGTAGGAAAAAATGAGGAAAAGTAGGAAAAGTAGATGAGGAAAAGTAGGAGAAAATGAGGAAAAGTAGGAAAAGATGAGGAAAAGTAGGAGAAGAAAGTGGAGGAAGAGAAGAAGGAGAAGGGGAAGAGGTAGGTGAGAGAAGTAGGGGAAAAGGAAAGAGAGAAAGAGGAGAAGGAAGTGGAGGAGAAGAAATAGGAGAAGTAGTAGGAATAAGAGGAAAAAGAAGAAAGAAGAAAAATAGTAAAAATGAAAATATTTGAAGTACCGTAATATTTGCTTATAAACGACAAAATTTGCATATTTTAAAGGTTTAATCTTCTCAGAAATAAAAGTTTAGAATTAAAATGTAATATTCTGTTTATATAACGGTTATATTTTACAAATCCTCCTTAAGCTATTTATATTTGTAGAGATAATATCAAGGCAAATATACATAATTTTGTTTTTTGTAGGCAAAGAAACGAATGAGACAAGTTTTCATTATGTAGAGTGAGTCCACTTGTAAATACAGAAATGAATATATTAATGTATATAACAAGATATTTATAGTTAAACAAGAGAGAAGGAGAGAGAGAGGATGAGATAAAAAGGGAAAGGAGTAAGTAGATTAGTCGTGATTAGGTAATATGTGGTTACATTTGCTGAAGTGGATGGAAATGGTGGATTAACTTTATCTAAAGATGGTTTAAGTAGAGGAAGTGGAGTGCTAGATTAGTTTTTATTGGAAAGAAGTGAGGAAGTTGTAAGTTATATTGAAGAGGCGTTTTTATGGGAGTGAGAGAAGGACACTTGGGATTTCACTTCTTACTTTGGAAGAAAACCTCAAGGGCTTATTGAGAATTTATGTAAGAATTTAAGTTTTTCTTTACAATCTTTCAAATTGAATGATTTATTAATTCGTTACAAACAGTTTAAGACAATTGAAAGTAGGCGTTTTTGCTATTGGTTAATTACGAATTCACGTGATTTTTTTAAAAAATATCTCACACGTCTCCATTATTTTCGCTTATATACATATTATTATTATTATTATTACATTGAAAATAATGTATATAAAGTTGGAATTAATTTAGTTTATTGCTCGTTATGAAGTATATAATTAAGTAATGCCGAGTTAAATAAAAATCTTGTTACCAGATTAACCTTTAATTAACAAAATTACGTTGATGTACAGTAAATTCGTCGGTTGTTTACTCGAATTTCTTACATAAATGAGACGATAAACATTATTTTAATTTTTATTAATTGTCAAATTCTTCAATACAAGAGCTTAGAAACTACTTGAAAGTGTGAAGAATTATTCAAAATGGGGTAACAAATTTTGGGCTTTCTGAATAAATCATTTTTTGGGCTGCAATTAAAAAAATTTGTAGGTATATAAATTTCCACCGTCATCCGTCTGTCTATCTGTCCTTTCGCATGATTTAAATTCAAAAATTTCTCCCAGAAAGGAGTTACATAGATGACCTGCACGACTCTGTTGCTATAAGGAAAAGTATGATGTACAGGGGCAAGACACTACTAATTTGAAATGGAGAGCGTATATTTTAAATTTAATTAATTAATTAATAATATGATTAAAAACTGCTGCAGCCTGGCAGTCACAATGCCAGGTTTAAATTTTATTGAAACATCTTCACAATAAAATATTTACTCGTTTAAGTTAATTTATTGGCAGTAAGTGAATAATAATTATTTATCTTTAAGAAAATACCCCCTGAATATCACGTGACGTGGCCCTAATTGCCGGTAATCCAGACAGAATGATCATCTTCGATTCGGAATAAGTCTAGTTTGGCCATCATGTGACTGATTACGTGTCAGGCGCCAGTCAGAAAGAATCATTTCCTAACGACTCAGCAGCTTTCCTTTCCACAATGTATCCCCATTTATAGATGGTCAGTGAACACGTGGAAGCTTTAAACACATAACTCTACAATAAACACGTGTCAAAAGTTGTTCCATACGTATAAAGAATTTCCATTACAAGACTCTCAGACGTGAAGTTTCTTCTTATTTATCGTTCGTGAAATTTATTCATGGATACGTAAACTTAACACAAAGAAAGTAAAGAAATAAAAGAAACTGTTTTTTTCTCTCCTTTATTTTTTTTATTTTTTTTTAAGTTACAAGTTGTCTGTCCTTCAGGACACGATTTAATCTGTTCCTCTTTCAACGTGTCACTCAAATTGATTCTTTCATTTCGTGTATTTTCGATTGGTTGAAACATATCATTTGTTTCTTTCCACCTCAAGAATAGCTTTAAGAAAAGTAATTTAAAAGAACTGTGAAATGATACGCTCGGTAGTAGTGATCCACTTGTTGTGAAATAGGTATCAGAGGAATACCACTAGCTGCATCTACTTTCTCATTTTGTATTGATATTAAAGAATTTTACAGGGAAAATAAAGTGGAAAAAAATACTTTATTGTTTGCTAAATCAAACTACCCTTTCTCCCAATTATTAATATAATTTACTAATGGAACGTACTGTTCATTTATAGAGCTTTCAACTGACTAAAGGAAATCGTACACCCCCCTCCATACACACACTAACATTTATACATACAGAAAATCCTCAAAATTTTTATGTTTTTCGACTTGGAGAGCCTTGAATCGTTGAGAAATGAAAAAAAAAATTTGGGGGATTTTTTTTTCTGTGTATGGATATTAGTATTGAGGAACACGATTTTATTAACTTCGAAGCTTAATAACTCCTATGCCTTTTGTCTAAAATTTTTAAAATTTTGCGTGGAGTTTTCTGTATTAGGGATATTGATACCATTAAGTTTTGGTGATTTAAGATTTAAGGGGTGGGGAGATAGAGGGGGGTGACGTAGCGTATCTCGAGTGATGTCGGACGTAACGAAAATTAAATTGAAGCTCAAAATTAAGCTATTTTATAATAATAATTAACAAAATGAAAAGTTTTTAAAGTAAAATCTCGTAACAGATGGCACCACATACAATTTTAACTTTTTAGCCGGGAAAGTTACACAACTTGTTGATGGATTTTCTTTTCAACAGAAACGAATGATGAAGTTGACTTCTTAGCAGTATTTTTTTTATTTTTTTTTTATTTAAATTAAATAAAATTTTGTATTATCAAACAATAAAACAACTTATAAAGTTAATAATTTTAAAAATTTTATAAAATATTTAATCATTAAACTCTATTTTTTTTTCTCGTCCTTTAAAGCAACAACAGCAAGAAGAAGATAAGGGTTACAGAAATCAGCAACTTCAACGATTGAAATTGCTTCTATATATCCCGTTTAACTTTGATTAAAGTATAGTTAAAAGTTTAAAACACGATTTAACTTGTATTTATTCTGATTAAATTTATCTGCCTCAAAGGTTTAGCACGATTATCAAAGAAACAGTAAAGTTATAAAGAAGATTTCAGATAAGAACATCGTTACATCGTTAATTACACACTTTGATTGATTGGGTTACTTGTAGGATGGTAACTATGGCAACAAAGTTGTCCATAAATGACCAAAATACTGTTCTGACGTAGATGTGCACTCTCTGACATCAGCCATGTTCGACAAGGTCGATGTCAGAGAAGTACACAGTTTGTTTAACATAATCTTTACTCTTATTTATAGTTTACCATTTAAGTCTTTAGTGATTTGTAGATGCAATTTACTTAGAAAATTAAATTACAAAATTTAATAATTTATAATATTTATAAAGTTTAATTTTCTTCCATTTACTTTATCTATGAATCAAAAGTGAAATTCATCGTAATTTTACCCACTGTACTCTTATAAAGTTGGTGGGGGGGAAATTGGAGTCAAAATTGATGAATTAGCTTATATAATTAAGTATAAAAATTTGATAGATGAGATAAAATTAATTCTTAAACAGATAAAGATGCTTTAACAATGAAGAAACTATTAAGAAAGTTTTCCTGTAATTTTTGTATGTTTTTCTTCTCTTTGTTATCTGTAATTTTCTACAACTTGCAAAATTAAACCCCGAAAAATTAATTGATAAAAATCGATTTAATCTCCTGATATTTTATCCCCAGAAGAAGAAGATTTAATATAAGAAAAAAAATTGAGAAAAGATTGAAAGAGGGGGCGAAAAAAATTTTTTTTCTCTTACGTCGAAACATTACTTTAAAATAAAAATAAGACAGAAAAAAAATGTCAAAATTTCACAATTTTTAGCAGATAGAAGACAAGAAAAAAAAAGGTAAAACAATATCTATAAAGCGAAATGACATAAGAGAAAAACAGGAGAGATGCTACCGGATGAGGAGGAGGATGATGTTGGAGAATTCTAAAGTAAATTGATGATAACTACGACTTCATTTAAAATTTTTCTTCTTTAATACGATGATATTTAAGATAAATATACAAAATATATTTTGTAATATATACGTTTGTTCGATCGATTTAAAGATATTTTGGATGCTCCATACCGAGTTACGTAGAAATCAATTAGATTTACTGGAGTTATGTTGCCTCAGGCAAAATGGAATTGAAAAATTTGAAGATCCTCCAAAGAAGTGCTTTTAAAAGGATATAGAGTTGTCTCACAACAGATGATGATCTAAAAAAAAAAAGATTTTTATGAAAGAAATTTTATAAAATCACGTTAAAATCGTTTAAAGTTACAGTTTATTTAAAGAATTTTAAAACAAAAGCGCAACTTTCCTCTCGATTTTTTTTAAAAGGAATCTTCGTGTTATATAAAAAAATAACATTTTAGTTATATAAAACAATGCTTTAACGTAATAAATTTATAATGCAACCTTCTTCGGTGTTGTTTTTCACGAGAATTATGTTCTAGAGTTTGTTTCTTGAACAACATCCGACAGGGAAAAAATGTTATGCAATTTCCTGCTTTAAACATTTATGACTGATACTAATAACAATTTATACGTTGAACTATTGCTTTAGTCTATTTACGACAGGTTTTCATGTAGTTTGTTTTATCAGTTTTAGCCTTTCTTAGTACACGAAAAACGATCCTTTCTGCTTTCTTCAACCCTAGCCACCTGTGTTTTCTCTTGTGCTTTTCTAGTCTAGCTGCAGACAATCGATGGCATCAAATGATTCTATTGAATGAAATTTGGGTAAAACTTCGATAAAATACATATATTTAACTATTTATCGAATGAAACGTGTTATTTATTGTAATTTTTCCATGTTTATTTTCAGGTTATGTAAGGTTTATAACTAGATATCGAAGGAGGAAACAAAGTATATGTTACATGGAAGCTGTAAGGATAAGAAAAAAAAAGTCAAGATTTGTTTTAGTTCTCTGCAATTTTTTGATAAAAATAAGAAATTTCACTTGTCTTTTCTTTTGACTAGACATATTTATGCGTTACATGGCATTATTTATTAAGAATTTCTTCATTCGAAACAGAGAATCACATACAGAAACCTTCACAGACATAGAGAGAGACGTATAAACTTTAATATAAATCCTTATAGAATCCAAAAAACAAATCAGGATTTTCTTTTAATAAAACATATGCATCCGAATAAATGATCTAAGTCTTGTTAATTATTCAATAAACACGTGATATCAGCAAAAAAAAAAAAAACATTAAGAAGATATCAATATCGAAAACAATGGCGAATAGATTGTAATATGACCAATACGATAAGGATAATTATGAACTAAAGTTTATATAAATATATTCTGATGATGATACTCTAAATATTATTATAGATAAAAGTACTTAATGGTTTCTTTTCTACGAATTTATTCTTTAGCAGAACATTAACCGTATCTACTTTCAGATAGATAAATTGCCTGGAGATATCTCACACATAAGTTAAACCCTTATAATAATGTTTACTTTACTTACTTGTAACCTATATCAATAAATTGCTGTACAAATATCACACCATCGATCTATATTATCTGTATTATACTTTTCTTTCTCTTTCAGCCCATTAAATTTCTTAAATTTTTGAAATTCTATTAGTTTTTAAATAAGTGATATTCAAGAAAAAAGAAATATTTTTCAATAAAGGGAAATATATATATATATAGAATTATTTTGTAAGATGGTCAAACANTTTTTTTTTTCCGCAAGTGTAGATGCGTGTTATATATAATAATAATACGTATTAAGTTAAATTATTATTTTTTTAATGTTATGCCTTTGTTTTTAAATTATATTTAAGCGCCATTAAAGATTATTTTTTTTTTTAACGACGCGAAATTAATATTTTACGTTTATTCTTAAGTGCGCGTTATATACGATTTTTTTGCGAAAAATGTTTGTAATTTCCTACACTTTAGAAGAAACTTTTAAATATAATATTTAGAAAAGAAAATTGTTCATTTTTTATGCAAAAAATACTCAAACGTAAAGAATTTAATTAATATTTTCTTTTATAAAAAAAAAAGAAGAAGAACAAAGTGTAAGCTCTTCAGATTTTCCTCCGTTGAAGAAGAAGATAACCTTAATAAAACTTTTCTTAAAAAAAAAAATTATATATATAATAATTCACGTAAGTAAAGTACAAAAATAAGTTTTTAGAAATGTAAAAAAGGAGAAGAGAAAAACAAAAATATATATATAAGAAAAATTCTTGAAACAATATTAATGAAGAAGATCAAAGAAAGATTCTGTTATCCATTTCTGAATCGTTTCCTCAAAAGAATGAAAGATTAACAATTTAAATTAAATCAAAATTCCACTTCAAAAAATACGATTTTCATAAGATGGAGTGAGAATTTAGAAACGGGGGAGAAAAAAAAAATATAGGCAAAAATCTAAGGTAGAGTTTCTCTCTCTCAAAAAAAAAATAAATAAAATAAAATAAAAAAGAGGCTCAACTTTCACAAAACAAAAGTGCAAGTTTTACAGGCAGTCACTTTGGATTTTTTTCTATTTTTTATTTTTATTTTTTTTTCCACAGGGGAAAGTCTATTTAAAGAAAACTGTTGTTTATGGCATCTACTATACCTGCGATTGGAAAAGATGGGGGCAAAATGAAGTAAAATCTTTTATCTTCTATCTCATCACGAAAATAAATCTTCTACTCTTGCTAAAACTTTCGTAAGAAGTATCACTTCTCTTCTCTTCTATTTTTTTTTTTTTTTGCTCGCCATCTCTTTAATGTCCTGTATATAATACTGCATAAATGTTTCTAATTAAACAAAAAAAACATACAAAATTTTAAAATTTTACTGTATAAAAACATAAAAGATATAATAAAAGAGCAAGAAATTAGCATTTTTATTTTTTAAAAATGTTTATTTGTTTCCAGTGGAGAAGAGGAGGAAGAAGAGGATGATGAGGAGGAAACTAAAATTAGATTTTTGTAAATAAATAAAACTATTGATAAGAATTATAAGAATTTTAACAAAAAATAAACTCAATTTTATTCCGGTAAAAAACTTATTTTAAGAGATCTTATTAAAATTTTTGAAGGCAACAAGTTTTAAAAGTTTTGCCTGAGGGGGTTTGTCCTTTCAAAAACAGCTGACGTTAAGAAAATTGAACATTGATTTAACAATGACTGTTATCCTGTATATTTTCTGGAATGCAAGAAATTTGTGAGATGTAAAACAACAATCTATCTTTCTCAAATTAACGTTTTTAAATTTTATACACTATATAACGACTTCTAAGCAATTTTATTTAATAATCAATAAGATTCTCTAACCTTAGAACTACAGTATTATCGATCTTCTTTCGCATACTTTCAGCGTTTTAAATAAAATTCGGCAATTTTTTTTCTTGTCTAAACTAGATTTAAAATAAGCGAAAAGTAATCAGAAACTGAAATTACAAAGCGATTTATCAATTATATATTTTTTAACATGGTAAACAATAAAAACCATTCTGTAGGAGTAATTACGCTCCTATAGGAATAATTCTCAGTAAATCGCGAGTACATCGATGCTAGAAAACGAATACGTAATAAATTCTTAATTATAATTATTAATTTCGTTTTTAAATTACACTTAATATATTAATCGCGCTTGGAAAATGGCTATAAGTGTTAAAAATGTGAAGTTTTTGATACAGAAAAATTTGTAAAGTGAATTAATTATATAATTCTATTCTAAATTTTGGTCATTACAGCGTAGTAAACTGGTTTACTGTGTTGTGATGTAAACTTCAATTGGTTAACAGTACAATAAACCGAATTGAACTTGGTTTATAGTGCTGTAACAATAAACCTCAAATGAATTAATTGCTTCAACTAAATGTCAGCTATTACTCATAATATGTTTCCATTATGAATGACACAAATAATTATACCAAATAATAATACTGTAATTTAGAATAAATTCAAATTTAAAGGTGTTCAAAATTGTTTTTTCGGCGATTATCCTTTAATATTGTTTATAAAAATGGAGCTTCAGCAGCAGCAACAACAGCAAGGATTACAAGAAAGAACTAGTGGAAGATCGTTGAATATAATGCCTTAAAACTAAGAATATTTAATTCAAGAATATATTTTGATGCATTAAGAGTGAATATTCAGTAAATATATACAGAAGCGAGTGGCAGAATGAATAGAAATTAAAGGTCAGTAAGCTTATTTGTACTCTAGCAGGTGAAGATTTGCTAGAACACAATATTTAAATATATATATAGTAAAACTTGTATAAGCCGGAATCGCACGTTATCGAATATTTTTCCTGTTTGACAGGCTTTCGTTTTGGCAGGTGTTCGTTTGAGATAAGTTTTACTGCTCATACATTAAATATACTTGAAATAATAGTGTATACAGTAAATACAGAAAGTACAGTAAAACCTGTATAAGCCAGAATTGAATGGCATCGAATATTTTTCCTGTTTGAAAGGCTTTCGTTTTATTCGTGTTCCGTTTTAAATAGGTTTCAGTGTATACACATACTTGAAATAATAATATATACAGTAAATATAGAAAATACAGTAAAACCTGTGTAAGCCGGAATCACGTGGTACCAAATATTTTCCGGTTTGGCTTGTTTCCTTTTTGAACAGGTTGTTTTCAACATAACAAAAACAGCTTCGTTTAAAAGGATTTTTTTCCGTTTTAGACAGGTTTTATTCGAGTTTCCTTTTGGACAAGTTTTACTTTCGAACGGAGCGACTTGGCTGTTATAAGGGGGAGGGGAAAAAACTTGTATAAAACGAAAACTTGCCAAATCAAGAAAAAATGTTGGGTACCGTGATAGTCCGGTTTACACAGGTTTCACTGTATGTATATTTCTGTACATTTAATTTAAGATATAAAGTGTCAAGTGCAAAAAAAAACAGAAAACAGATAGTGAGGTTGATAGGTGGTTCGTGTACAAGAGGTCAGTTGTAATCTCTAGAGATTCAATGGAGCAAAATGCTTAGAACCAATTATAGCAGCCACAAGAACTAAATTGACTGATTGGATCTGTGAAGTACTAACAAAATCAACCAAGTAAAAGTATTTCATTAAATTTTCCATTCTAATGATTACTAACACTGAAATTCGCCATTTTATATCGTAGACAAACGTATAAATCTCGCAGAATGTATATATTGTTGACTAATAAAAAAGTACATAAATTGAATTTTATGTAGCATAATTATTTATTTGAGAAAACAAAATTTAAATACGGTTTTTTTTCCTCCTTTTCTCGCAGCTATAAAATAACTTTGTGTATAAAATAAACGTAATACAAAATGCTTGATCTACGCTGAAGATATTCTGTAATATATAAGAATGGTGTACGTTATTACGTCAATTCGACGTCATTTTACTCTTCTATCATTATAAAATAAGCGCAGGAATGACGTCAAAAATGATGTAATGGTGTGAACTATTCTGACAAAATGCACCTTGTGTTGAAACTGAATTCGAAATTTGTAGAGGAGCATTGTTTTGTCAAAATAGTGCACACTCTTACGTCATTTTGACGTCATTCTTGTGCTTTTTCTATAATGATGAGTCGTAAAATGACGTCAAATTGACGTAATGGTGTACACTTGACAAAAAGAATCTTTATCTCTGGCTAATTATGGTTTAGATCAAAGTAAAAATGATAGAATTAGCTTAATAAAATACATCTAAATACAAATAATAGATCATATAGTATTTAAATCCTAGAAAAATTCAAATATAAAATAATTAAATTTTTAATCAAGTTAAAACAATTAGAAGGGTTAATGATTGTAGAAAAATTAATACTTTAACAGAAACTTATGTAATTAATTAATTTAATTAAGCAGATAATTGATAATTTTCATACTTTAAACTTATTTAAATGAATATATGCATTCATTGATGAATGTAGCTCCTGTATGACAGTTATTCATTGTGATAATTCTGATCAATACAAGATGCTCATAATACGATAAATTGCACTCTAAAATTTAGCTTGGAAGTATTATTCTTAATGGAAATTAGTAAAGCCACTGAGATACTTAATTCAGTTAATTCAGATTAAGTTTAGTAATAATAAATACCCAACTTCTCGACTTGTATATTGCCCTGGTGTCTTTTGTAAAATTTGCCTCACGAAATTATTTATAAAACACAAATAAACACGTAAAATTTATTATTATTTAGACTTAATGGAAACCATTATATATAGGCCTATATTATTACACGAGTAATTTTAAAAAATATATATTTAAATATATTAAAAATCTTCGAGCAGAAGAGAAGGTAATAAAATATAATTATTGGTTCTCCTCTTGACCATGGGAATTGGAACATAATGCAAATGCTTTTGAGATTAATGATTGCAAACTTAGAACATTAGCTCATAATTAGAAAATTTCTCCTGTTAATAATATTCATAATTACTAACATTAAAAGGTGAGTATCTTGTTTTAATTGTTCTAGAAACTGTATTCACTTTTTACAATTATTTTCAATTTTCTACAAATTTAATTAAATAAAATTTTAAATATTGTGAAATTCTAACAAAAAAAATTGCGTAATTATTAAAAAAAACCTGTAAATAACGGACACTTTCCAGTGACGTAAAACTCTTCTAAACGATGATTACTCTTTCACGAACTTTTTTTTGTTTGGAAGAGAAATACTCACGGAATAACCTGTAAAAAACGGCCACCTCCGAACAGCGGACACTTTTGTATAAATTCAAATTTCATCTACTTGTAATTGAGATAGAAGGCTGAAACTTTGAGGTCATACCTGTCCTATGACAGTGTTTTAGGGGATGACACCATACAAATTATCCTCCCCATCCCGAAACCTGATAAATACATCAAATGTTGAATTTAATTTTGACTTGTGTATGTTAATACACTATAGTGGTGTATATGATGAAGGTGGTCCACCTCTACACTCTCAACCTCAAAAAATATAACCGATAAAAGAGTTATTTTTTCTAATTTTTTAAAATATATGCGTATTTGGTCGAAACTCAATCTTAATACATTACTTGGAATTCAGAAGTACTAAGGCCCCTTACATTAAATTATAGTAGTGACTGCAGTTTTCTATATAAAGTAACCTCTCCAGTCCATGCTCGATGGCCATTTTAACCACTTTTAAGACCTCATTTCAATTTATTTATAGAGATTATAAAGATACAGATATAAAACACGTGCCTGTTAATCCCCCTTGCCCGAAAATATTCGTAAGCAGAGCTTAAGGAGGGAGGAATTCACGCTTCTTAACCCTTGATCATGGTCGATAGGCCTATGTCCATGCGGTAATGAGACCCTGCACGCTCGTTCGAGTCCTCACATAATCTAAAACCTCTTACTCGAGAGTAAAATCACCGCTAGAGTGAATAAAACCACTGAACCACGTGGGTTCACGCCTCACTGATGGGCTGACCACGTGGAGTTTTCCAGATTTTCTTCAAGTGTCTAACACCTAAATAGGGACCATACAAAGATGCCTCTATTTAAGTGTAGGGGTACCACCCAGATAGGACATTTTCCTTACAAAGCCCCTTGTTGGAGGTAGATCATGTATTGATTTCCTTATCCCCTCAGTCCTACAATCCTTAAGAGTAAAACAACATCTTTGTTATTATTTCCCTATATAATAAAACTGTGTACACTAGAATTGAATATTTTTCCGGTTTGGTAGGGTTCCGCTTTAGACAGGTTTTACTGTATTGATTTTCGAATCTCATTATTTATGTACGAATTTCTTACGAGACAACACGATTTATAACATATTTTTATTGTATTATTTGTATAATTTTTGCGTGTGTAAAAATAAATGGAGTAGAAAACAATACTGTATAAGGACTGTGATAAATTCTAAATAATGGAATGACCATCTTTTATTATTATTATTATTATTATTATTATGAGTTTCTCGCATTCTTTTGTCTTGTCCTTAATCTTCTCTCAACAAGTTTAACGA